CTTGCCTTCCTGAGAGTGCCCTTAAAGCGGATTCTAAGCTATACTAGCTTTTGTGTCACTCGTTCCCGTTTTTTTATTGTACCGTTGCATTTATTTGCTGTGTAATAAACTTGTAAATCTTCCCTCGGATCTTTTGTTCTTACGTCGACTGTTTTGGCCGTCTTACATGAGGACCAAACTTTGAGATTGAATTCTTACAATGCAGGAATTCTAATTATTTATTTGCTATAATTTTTAGTGCTAATAGCAAAGAAACCATATGGCATAGTATTCAAGGAGGTATATAGTTTTAATTTGAAAAATGTAAAGATCGAGCTAACAATCAATCAAATCATAACAGCCAATCTTTGAATCAGTCTTTCTTGTATTGATTTAACTTTTTTTCCAAAATTTGAGCTTCAAAACCCAGTGATATGCCAATGTTTACAATATTTCATTTCTTCCTGCTTGGCGTCAGTAGTGTGTCAGCTGATGTGTCTGTCAACAAGTTAGCTAGCACATTGGTAACCAACCTTGATTTTCTTCAAAGTTTGCAAACAGAACATACCTTGTTCTTCAGATGATGTTAGTAAAAATAGTATTACATAAGAAACTGTGCATATTATTTTTGCAAAAAAATCAGGAATATCGATCTATTATTTTTTATTGAACAGTATTTTAGGGTCTGAGCTTTGGTATTTATTATTGTAAGACAAGAGAACTAAAAAAATTAAGACAAAGATCTATAAACCGTGACTCTCAGTGGTAATTAGAATTTAATTACCCAGCAGTGCAATATAAAGACTGTCATACAGGAGATGGTGAGAATTAAGGGAATTATTAACTAGTCTTTGAGAGATATACTGAAACTGTTCCAATTCAATACTGCATTCTCTGGATTGACCTGTAAAGAAATATATAATCACCACTTAGGAGAACTGGCTTTCAGATACTGGGCCCATACATTAGGGAATGTAATGATGTAGATATGTGCTGTTTCAGGTGGAGGAGTTAGCAAAAGACAATTTGCGAGCATTTGTCAAGAATTATAGGGCATGGTTTACAAGGAAACTGGAGTTAACAAATGTCATCGAATATAATTTTTTTAGTATTCTATATTGTTTCTAAAATTTTCTTTTAAGCCTTTGTAGTGTATCTAGGGGTAATCTATGGCAGTTCAAATAAGTCCAGGAAAGAAAGAGAAAGCCTAAGCCTCAGAGTTGGATTCTGCCCTCCATGCACTACTCCATTTCTGAGTTAAACAGGAACTCTACGTTTTCACATGCTATCAATGGGTTTATATCTGACAGTCATCCCACATATATGTACTGCTTGGATCGGCAAACTTGACTTTGCACTATTACGACCTTCCAGGAAAGGATTTATCTCTGATTCGTCCACAAAAACCTAATTTTATTTTCAAAGTTAGGGATACGACAACAACTTAGGAGAAAACAACTGCCCTTGAATATATTTGTTTACAGTATTGTATAATTCAATTTTTCCTCATGCTTTCTTTGCTGGATCTACAGCACAAAAATTACAGAGAACATATATGAGGACCAAACTCTCAGATTGAATTCTTAAATGCAGGAACAGCGATTTTGCTCTGAATTTATCTACAACGCGAGGCCATTCGCTTTACCAGACGTGAGTATCACTGGCAAGAATAGATAACAGCGAACTCCTTACCACAACATCAAACTTATACCTTCGACGAACTCACTCTAGTTCACCTATGATTTCATTCAATAACCTCTTCTTTCTTGCAATTGGTCTTAGTCTTTGTTTTCAACCACGTGACAAAAATTCGCTACGTCATACGCAGCCGCCATGTTGGGGGATAACTAAGCTTTCAAAATGACTTCTGAAGACGTCCTCTATGTGAACCTTCAGTATTCGGATTACTTTGCGGGTGTGGAGGGTCCAACCAAGTCAAGGTACCACGAAAAAATAACTGCTTAAGGCTTCGACTGATATGCGTTGAGAAAAAGTGCGAACGTTCAATATCCAGATATTGTGAACTACTTACAAAAACCCAAATGAAGTTTTTGTGTTCGCCAGAGTTAATCTCGGTAGTGTATTTTTTTCTGACGATCTCGGAGAGAAGCAAACAGAGCAAAATAAAGGACTCTTTTTATTGACCTCGGCTAGTAAGTCTTGTCTTACTTGGTAATTTGGTTATTCCAACTTAGTTGAAATTGTAAATTTGGCCATAGTAGAGTTAAAAGCTGACGTTTTGTGCGTCAGCCCTTTGTCAGAGCGATCTAGTTGATCTTGACACAACAGCTGCAAGTTCAGAAGACATATCACTCATAGTACTCACATTAGCGAGTGATATGGCATATTTCAAGGATCTAAATTTTTGGATTTAGAATTAAGACTTTTTGTGTACCCTCACGATTACTTCAGTGGTGAATCGTCCACAGAGAGCCTGGGACATCCCACTTTGAACATGGTTTCTGGCAGAAAAATGTGATTGCTTCCCATTGCTATTGCATGGTAGGGTTATGTGAAGGGTGGTCTCATGGTGGGGCAGAGCTTTTTGCTGTGGAGGCTGGTGTTAGAATTAGAGATTCTACCATATGCACACAAAGAAATCCCCCATTATCTGTAAGTGAGATGGATTTTACCTCTGCCTGAAGGAAGCATGAATTGATGGTGGAGGAACAGGTTACTCCTATGGCTACTAGAACTAACCCTGGGATTCAAACAACCAGGACACCCACCCCAACTCCAGAAGAACAGAAAACTATCTTGACAAATGTCATGCCAACTACCAAGTTAAGGCCCAGATTTTTATCTGTGGGGTTGAATATTGTGATTTTGTGGTGTGAACAACAATTAATCTCTGTGCAGAAATTCTCCCTGACCAAGAGTTTTGGGAAAATGCACACTCTGTTTCCTCTGATTTCTTCAGCGAGTACATTTTGCCTGAAATTGTGGGGAAGTACACTATGGCAGCTTTCATGTCAATAGGAGCCAGGGACTCATCTGGTTTTGCCTTTACCAACGAAACGATACCGGCTTCCGCAAAGTATGTGCGTGGTTATCCCCAACTTTGTGTTGTTATTATCAATATTTAGAAAATACAGCATCAATCCCACAAGTATCAGTAATTAGCTGAATCTCAAACTAAACTATATGCGTATGTGCCAAGATGCGAAAAAAAAAATACAAGAAACATACAGCCTTGAAACCTTAAACAATAATTACTTTTCAATTGCTTGCTTGTTCATACATGTAAAACAACCAAACACAACACAGACTTGTGGCATGATAAGAGGGAAAACTAAAACTGTGAAACGGTCATGACGGCTTCCGCAATTTTAAAAGCACGTGGTGGTGTAGTATCGATAAAAATTTACCGTTCACACAAAATATATTACGATCCAAACTACAGCACAAGTCTTAAAATAACAGTATTGTGCAGCTATAATAGTATTGTCAGCTATTTAGAATGCATGACATTGACAAGTAGGTGCGTAACACCTTCAACATACACTTCAGACAGCTGTCACACGGAGTGTTGCGCGTGGTTATCCCCCAACATGGCTGACCCCAGTTTTTTAATTTCTGCCGACGTCACGTGCAAAAAAAGAATTCCACCCTTGGTCCATTTATGCTAATATTTAATTCAGCACGAACAATTGCTGGTCTTGCCACAGGTGACCCAAGCTCTGTCACAGGCTCTTTCACAGTGAATAATTWAAGAGTTTGTATAGTGGTTTAGTTGGACTTGCTTTTGAGCTCCGTAAATGTAAAGTTGTGTGAAATAATCAAAGAAATAAAGTCTTACCTACGAGGATATTTGTAAAAATCCATTGAAAACAGTGAAGATGGACAGTATCGACGATATAGTCAAGTCGATGAGTTTACCCAGGGTACCTTAGTATGTGTGAAGAGCTGGTTTTAGAAGACTATGGGGAGGACCCGTTGAGAGAGATTTGACTAGGGTCCAGGTTGACCGCGTATTAACGGTCTCTTAGCTGCCCAAGATGTTCCTTCCACGCATTAGAAGAATTCAGAACGGCCGTTAATTTGAAATTCTCGTTGGATTGGTTGCTCGACAAATCATCTTTTGTGGGATTTTTCCCGGTGAACTTAAAGGGAAACTATTTGGCTTTCGTGCTGCCAAGTTTTGATTCGAGGGAAAGTATTTAAATGTTGTTTTCGATCGATTTTGGCGAGCATGTGTCAAAAGAAGTTTCCGACCTTACTCTATTTTGTGTACGGTGATTTAGGGCGTCAAGCCAAAACACATCAAAACGGCCCCAAATCGCGAGGAAAACAACACAGACTACTCTCTATGAAGGTAAGACTTTATTTCTTTGACTATTTCACACAACTTTACATTTACGAAGCTCAAAAGCAAGTCCAACTAAACCACTATAAAAACTCTTTAATTAATCACTGTGAAAGAGCCTGTTACAGAGCTTGGGTCACCTGTGGTCTTGCCAGTCTGCTATGCATTTCCATCACATTGATTACCAGTCTCTTTCAGAAGTTTTAGCCGGCTCAGAAGAGTGTGACCATAATAACGATAATAATAATGACCGGTGATATTTGGGACTTTAAGCAGCCAGGACTGCAACGCCACGGAAGACGTCGTTTAAAATTTGAGTTTCTACTTTTAGTTAGAATTTCGAAAGTGGCTGCATATTTTTACCGTCTAATAGGGCGCCAGACCTCAAACTCAACATATCGCATAAAAGTAGCGTTGAGTTCCAAATGTAAATTAAAATAATTTGCCGCCGCGGTTTCGCTTCGCAGACGACGCAAATTTTGGTGATTTCACGTTGTTGTTTTGCAAAGGACGGCTAAGAAATGTACAAAGTTTTAGAACGCACGTGCTGGGCTATTTTGCTGCCAATTAGATCTATTGTTTTTCCACGTTCTCGTTGTTGTAGCCGTCGTGGTTTGCGTAAAGTCCCTATTAGTAGTTATTATAATGATAATAATGGTACAGATTAATCGTTTGAAGCCTAGTTTGAACTCTTTCCACCGGGAATTACCGAAGGATAGAAACTATGTAATTTAGCGGACGGTGCTTATTCACCCTCAGCTGATGATGACCCAGTGTCGAACGCATTTGGATTTTGCTTTATTTTAATTATATCTTTTGCTTTGTGAACGGTTCATTTCTAAACCCTAGTGAAATTTATTCGTTAGAAGGCTTTAAAATAATGCTTTTTGTCTGAATTTTTTGTTTGTTTGCTCTCAAGGTCATATTCTAGAGTATCGGAAATTGTGTAATATCAGATGAATTGTTTTAAATCAAAAGGGAAATTTCCCTTTTTAGGGCGTTTCTGACCCATGACCATCACGCAACATTTTCTCAAGAACAATAGAAGTATTCGGTGGGAGCATAACTTCGGTCGCTTTACTTCGGTCGCTTTACTTACACTGTGAGAAAGTTTCGGCATGAATTTCGTGCTGTAGTTGCGCATCTCGTGTATAAATCATGACGATTATCAGCCTTACTGTGCGCCTCCGGACTCCTGAAAACTGAAATTGAATTTGAAGGTAGGTAGACAACAATTTTACCATCTAATAACTTACTTAACAAGACAAACCACCATAGAGGTGATTGTCTGTGATAAATGTTCGCTGCGCAAACGGCATCTTTCTTGACAGCACAAGAAATATCGCTACATGTTGTCGCTTTCTGATCGATGTCCCTTGTTCGTCACAAGTAACTGAGATATATTATGCGCTTTTTAAAACAATCACAACAGAAAAGAGAAAGCAAATATCTTAAACCACATACCGTGACAATCGCTTATCGCGGAAGTCAAAAACGTTTTCCAACCCTTTCGCATAGTAAAAGAAATATCTCTCTAAGACTAACCTACAAAAGAGGCAAAGGGTTGTATTGAAGACCATTCATTGAGTTTTAAGACTGGGGAAAGTATGTTTACTGCGGAACTTTTCAAAAGCTTTTAGCTGCGTCATCACTTTCGATTTCTTCTGATATAATTTCCACCACAGCTTGTGATATATTTTTGAAGACGCTAACGAGAAATGAAAATACAATGTCTTATATATTGAGAAGAAAATGCAAAGAATACGCCTTTATCTGCTGTTAATGAACAAGTTTTATCTCTGAATATAGGATGTTGAAGGTTATGTAAATTTTGTTTGGAAACAGTTTCCACTTCAATTCTTTCTGGCGTCATCCGTCGTAAACTGATCCCGTGGTCTGACTGGGTAAACAACACTAGAGGTCATAGTGAATTACTTGCAAAGTGTGAGTCGTTCGTTGACAACCGCTACTAGCTATGCTCCCACAAATTCGGATTTGTCGCGTCATAAATTCCTTAAGGATCCCAAACTCAAGAATTTTAGTTTCATGCTGTAATTCTTCAACAAATAGTCGCAGGTTTTTGTGTTTTAATGAGTAAATGGTCAGACAAATAATTTGTCTAAATTTCTTAATGTAAGTGTGGCGTTATGTAATGTGTCACGTTAGGTCAACAAAATCACATGATAGGCAAGAGGAAGAAAACCTCGAGCGGGATATGTTTTTTTGTACTGTACTTTTACAATGGACCGATATTGTATGATTGGAGGTGTTTACAGTCGGTTGGATATTTTACTGGTTCCAGCACAATAAAGGACAATTCGTTATTAAGCCTTATAATTTTTTCGTTTTTTTCTAAAACAGACATAGACTTTAGGGATGAAAAAGATCCAAAGACTTTAAGAATAACATCTAGTGTCAGAATGTGCTCTGAACGTTTCAAGGACGATGGTGTTAAATAGAATTTGTAAACAGCCGAAAGATAGTACCTGTTTTCATGGCCAACAAGACTGAATCCATTTTAAAAAGAAATAGTGTTTCGTTTCCGAAAAGATAACTGCAAACATAGTTGTCACAAGTCAGGAAAAGTCAAGGAAAATTTGATTACTTCAAATCCATGGCTTCAATTTCACTCTGAGTCAAGGAAAATTCATATCTTTTAAAGAAGTCAGGGAAAAGTGAAATTTCAAGTAATTTGACGTTGTTTATATTTCTTGGTCATCTTCATGATGAAAGTTGATGGCACTTTCCCTTTCGTGATGTGATGCTGATTATGTAAATTAATTGTTTAGAACAGTTGAAAGAATCCTGACTAGCTTATCTTTTTCCTTTGCCGTTTATGCCAGTCGAGGTCGGTATGTGAATGAAAACATACATTTTGTCTTTCCTCAAGATTCATTTTCTTCTTACCTTTAACTTCTCTGGTATATTTCACGAACATGAAAGATTCTGGATTGGTAAAATAAGCTGACCTTAGGTTTCCAAGAAAAACAATCCTTATTCCATGACATCTTTGATAGGGACAATTCATGCACACTGTATGTGACTTGCTGACTTGCACTAAAATACGGGTCGAAAGGATGGCTGTGAGGGAAGGTTGGAAGTCATTACTAGGACACAAGGAGTCGTTCATGATCATGAAACTATTAGTTTAGTATTGGCAACGAAAACTAAGTCAAACGGTGTTTTGGTAACCTATCACTGCTCTGTTTATTTCCATGTAGCTCCTCTAACATGTAACGAACCTTCTCCCTTTGTAAACATGTTTACCTCGTAAATTAGTTGCAATGGTTTCTAACTGGTTTCAACGAATGACCCAATGTTCAAATTTGGTTACGATTTGACTGAATTTTACAGAAAAGATGTCTACATTAGAGAGATTTAGCATCGCGTTTACGTGAAACGGCAAATGTGAAACGGCAAACGTCAGCTTGCCCTTTCACGTTCCACGTCAAATAGCATGATAAACCTTGCTGGTCTAGCTTCGCGCGAGCCCACGCATCATGGTGGATTTGAAGGCGCCCCTGTATCATGCTTACAAGGGATAGTTTTGGTGCGCTTTATCCAGCAATTAAATTTTACTCTGTGTGAGAAAAGGTGAAGAGAGTCTTACGTGCACGGCAAACGCGAAACAGGTTAATTACTTCGCGAAGAAACGGTAAAGGGCAACCGGCATACGTGGAAAAATGGCGGGAAAATGAAGGTCATGTGGTCACTCTTGCCGTTCACGTTTCAGGTTAACGCGGTGCTAAATCTCTCTTTTACCAATTCACACGACACGAAAAACTTTTCAGTTTTCGACTAAACAAAGCCATTTCGCAGTCTTTCCTTCGGTACTTTCTTTTATGTTGACCTCTTTTTTAGGCCTAAAGGGCCAATAGATATCATGAATATTGTTGCTGGAAATATCCAGGAGTCCATTAAATAAAAACTGCATTGTCTCATACTGTTTTAAATACACCTGTTTAGATGACAACCGTGCGATCGCATCGAGCCACCATGCTTGTTTTACATGTTGACATATTTCAAAGCGGGCACGATGTTCGCGTCCAGCTCTCGCGCGGTCAAAAATCTCTCGATAGCAAAAATGTTGACGCCTGAGGGACCGTTCATTATTTACCTCTGTGGAGGGTGGGTGGGGGAGGGGGGGTTTTGAAGATTTTGGTTTTGCACAATAAAATTTACCAGAATCCCCCCACCCATAAGGCTATGTAATATTCTTAGCCCCAACCCCCCGCCCCCTCATTGACAGTTAGCTAGCATTCTTTTTTCTCTATTAATTACCCATCTATATTTTGTTGGTGATGATTGATTCCCTCTCCGCCTCCTTGAAAACCATGTGCTACCCCCAAAAATCAATAAATAAATTCTGGACTTAAAAAACAAGAATCATGAACGATGAAACCCAAAGGTTTTATCATGGCAGTGTTCTTATATTTATATGGCTGGCCCCATCACAAGGTTATCGTATACTTGTATACTCATGAAGATGTTTCGTCTAATCGCTCATGGTTAACGTTTTTTTAGTTTACAACGTTTTTGCAATCGCTATATTAAATCGTATTCGACATGTTCCAGATAATTTACTGTGTCTCTTAAAACGTCTGTTTAGGTTGTCAAAGAAATTGTGGCCAAGGGCTGCTATCTTAGCAATCAGAGCCGACCATGTCTCTACAGCCCTTTAGTGACAAGCAGCTCAATTATTTCAAGTTTGCCTCCATTGTGTTGGATGAGTTCGCAAGCGCTCTACGTCAGACATTCAAGTCCATGTGGGACAACACCTTTGGACATCGCCTCGGATATCAACTGTGGGATGACTCCACAGCAGTAAGGAAGTTGTTTCTTGCCGAAGAGGGTGGCAAAACAAAAGTTCCCACGCACCTCTCCTATGAAGAATGGGACTGTACAGCCCTTTTTCAGACCACCATTTATGCGAAGTCCTTCGCTATGCCTGACAGTACAGGTCATAAGAGGACTCTCGCTGAATTGTACATGAAGCACTGTAGGATACCTCATGGAAAGTTTCATGCATCTGTGGTGAGTCCGAGTGGAAACCAGGCCGAAACGTTTGCACTCGCGATTGATCAGCTTCGATTATTAAGAAATTCACTTTGTCACTCAGAAAAGTCAGAGATTGATAAACCAACTTTTGACCAATACATGAAGCTGGCTAAAGAAGCATTCCAAGCTCTCGGTATCAAGACAAACCCAATTGATGCCATCGGTGGTTTGGCAGGGTCCGACTTTCCCACGAAAAAAGTTTGCAACCTAAATCAAGGTATCAATCAGGAACTTCGAGCGCGAATCCAATTTCTTGAAGGGGAGAGTTCAAGCATGGACGAATTAAAAGCGTTAGCGAATGCAATAAAGGAAAAAGTTGAAGTTGGAGCAAGTAAGGAAGACCTGGTTTTGATGAAGAAAAAGATAGATGAATTGCAAGAAAAAATTTCTAAAGACCAGAAAGGTATAAAATCAATATACTTACTTCATTCATTTCAAGAGTTTTTAACTAAGTTTGCTCCAGAAACGTTTCATTTTCTATCGTTCACTGCCATAAGATATAAACAGATATCACTATAAATGGGTTTCAGACTCAGTTAAGTACATCAACTGTAAGAAAATTATCTAAAATGTGTCAAAAGTTCGACCGTGGTATCCTTTAATTTGAAAACAATTTGGAAATCTTTTCGCACACGCAAAACCTCGACGCGCTGTTCTCGAGTAGCTTCCGCTCCGGTTCTGGCAAAAACCTTTATTCTTTTGACCTAAGAGTATTGCACACATCTCATTTGTTTAACTCCGATTGCTGAGAGATAGAAAAATTGGGGGTAAGGCTAACTTAATAAAGCTACAGGTAGACGGCCAGGTTGCTGAGCACTGTTATTTACCATTTGATAGATTCAAAAACATTGCTTTCGCCATCGTGTCTTCCTCCAATGGTTCCACACTTCACTGGCCGCCAAAGAGAGTGTGAAGATATCGTCAGTCGCGTAGCTTCCACATCTACCCGAATAGTGTCGGTATGGGGCTCGCCTGGTTTTGGAAAAACTTCTGTGGCAACTGTTGTGGGTCATAAACTCCAGGACAAAGAATTGCCTGTCTACTTCCTCTCCTTACGAGGACTTAACTCAAACACCGATCTAATATCAAACATGTTCAGCTTTTTCAGAAGTTCCTTTACGAAAGATGAAAGACCGCAGCGGCTGCCGATCGTTGAAGAACTGTTTCAAGTTCTCGCCGAGATTTCAGACGAGTTCGTGATGATTCTTGACAATGCTGATGACTTACTCGAAAGTGGAGCACCTAACGTGAAAGAACGTTTCGTACAATTTCTTCAAAACATTCTCAGTCGAACAAAGAAAGCAACTTTTGTTATTACTACGAGGCAATCTCTTGAATTCATGGATGTGCACTTTGAAGGCCACCAGGCAGTGAGACTAGGGCCATTAGATGAGTCCTTCTCTCAAGCGTTGGTGAGTAAGTTGCTTCCAAATGCTATTACCGCGTCTGATTGTGAGGAAATTGCGAGAGTCTGCGGGCATGTACCTCTGGCCATTAAGCTGTTGTGTTCCTCCATTTCTGAAGATAACACTAAACCAAGTCAGTTTCTTGAGGACTGCAAGGAATCTATAGAAAAAAACATTGTCGAAGTGTTTGATAATCCAGACTATCCCAGCAATCTGAGATTAAAATTGTTACTTGAATCATCTTTTCTACGACTTTCTGCGCAGGAGAAAGAAGTGCTGGTGACTCTGAGTATTCTATCAGAAGATTTTAACCTCTCAGTTGCGGCAGCAGTCATGGGTGTTAAAACAAACTTCGAGGCTAAAAAGATCTTACATAGGCTTCGGAGGAAATCGTTTCTCGACTCTGGTTCCAAACCTGATTCACTTTCAATGCATAAATTGCTTCTGTCCTATGTTAGAGAAAGAGGAGATAATGAAATGAAAGAAACGGTGCTGAACGCAAAAGTGCGCTTTTCTGCATTTTACGTTTCTCTTTTTGAGAAGTTGAACGAACAGTTCTTGACAGGACATTCAATGGCAGCATTTAATAAATTCTATGAGGAGAAGCAAAACATTATTCAGAGTATAACAGAACGTTGTTCAGATCCTAGGACATGTGATACTGTTTTTGGTGTTTTGATAAAAGCAGAGATTTTTCTAGATTCCCTATTCTGGTGCGAGGAAGAACGCTTCGACAAAATTTACGAATCAGCAATCAATCTGGCGAAGAAGCTTGGAAAAGGCGTCTTTTATAAACAGTTATTAGTTTCCCTTGCTTTTAGTCAAATGTATTGGCGCACCGGAGGAAGAACGATGAAGCTGCTTTCCGAGGCCGAAGACGAGCAAGTGTCATGTTCGTCTTTCTCAGCAGAATGGGAAGGAAAACTCTTCTGTTATAGAGGCATCTGTCAGGTAGCTTCTGGAAAAACAGAAGACGGAGTTCGAAACTTAGAAGAAGCTCTTTCTTTGATGTCTAGCAACGCTGAACAGAGAATTCTTACGATAATTGCAATTCAAGTTCTCGCTATCTGTCATCGCTTTAAGAACCACTTTTCAGTTGCGTCACAGTTTTATAACAAGGCGTTGCAAGAATGCGCGGCAGCGGGAGACACAAGTCTTCTTATCATTCCTCCAATGAGAAGCAAAGACTTTAACGCTGTTGATCATGGACTTCTAAATCGAAAGCCAGATTTTCTTATCACTCAACCACTTAAACTAGAAATGATCTGTGTCGTTGGCGAAGCATCGAAGCATTTATTCGATGACAATACCAAGCAATCAGTGAGCGATGCTGTGATTCAAATGGCGAAAGAAATACAAAACACGATCTCTCTGAGATCATTTAGCCTTTGGAACTTACAGCGCAACGTCTCTGCTACACTCAGGGATGTGGTGGTACAACCTAAAGAAGCAACAAGGTTATCCGCTGCAAGCATTAGTTTTCATGAGATGGCCATTAAGCAATGTAGAAAAAG